CAGGATAGATTTCTGTACCCCATTTCCTGTATTTCTTATTTCCCAGTTGCATGTGAAAACATTCAGAACTGGGCTTTTGAGATGAAGATCAAAGTGTCCTAGCTCTAGAAGGAAAGAGACTTTAGAGTTGATCAGATCCAGCCCCTCCTTTTAAACATGAGGAAATTGAGACCTAGAAGAGTTAAGTGACTTGCCCAAGGTACCTAGCTAGTGTCTCAGGATTAGGATTCATATCTTCTTGACTTGGAGCCCAGGGCATAATCTCCTAAACTACTCCCTCATTTTAGGGATGAAGAAACTGAGGGAAGTTGGGTGGCTTCTCCAAAGTCACACAGGTGGCCAAAGCAAGATTTGAACCCACATCCTCTGATCTATCCACTGCCACCATGCCGGCTGGTATCAAGCTCTCCTGAGTTCATATTGTAGTTCCTATCTTTCCAAAGGTTACAAAGTATGAATCTTTTTTCTTCCTAGACTCTTAACCCCTTCCATGTAAGGGTCTACTGTTACTGTGTTTTAAGGACTGCTAGGCCCAGAGAGAGATTGAAGGTAAGACAAGGCCCCTGCCTTCCTGGAGCTGACAGTTTAATGGGGGATATGACACACCTTCAGACAGCCATAATACACAATACATAATAAATAAATTAGACTTGGAAAATTAAATGACTGGGAAAATTAAGCAAATAGGGCTGTCAGAACAAAAACTAAATTAAAAAATTAAAAATTAAAAACTAAATTAAAGGATAGGGTACTGGCCTTGGAAACACCTTGTTTTCTAATCCTATCTCGGACTCTAATGATGTGACTTTGGTCAAATCATTTAACTCCTCTCAACATTAGTTTCTTCATCTCTAAAATGAAAGAGCTGGGCTATGTGCTTGACTTCCAGTTTAAAATCTACAATCTTTGGCTTTAACAAATATTTATTGTTCTAAATCTCCTTCTCCGTGTTCGCCTGGAGGCGCCACTCCAGTTCAGTCATGTCTGACTCTTGGTGACCCCACGTGGGGTTTTCTTGGCAGAGATACTGGAATGGTTTGCCGTTTCCTTCTCCAGCTCATTCTACAGAGGAGGAAACTGAGGCAAACAGGGTGAAGTGACTTGCCCAGAGTCACCCAGCTAGAGGCTGGATTTGAACTCAGATTTTCTTAACTCTATCCATGGCACCGCCTAGCTGCCCCAAGTACTTATTATTATAAGTCTCCTTCTCCATGCTCACCACTCCAGTTCAGGAGTTCAAGACTCATCATCTTCCCCCTTTCCCCTTGACAACTGTAATGAAGACAACACAGCCTGGTCCAGTGGGAAGGGCACTGGATTCCAACCCTAATTCTACCACTGTGAGACACAGTCCAAGTTGTTCAATTTCCTTGTGCCTCGGTTTCCCCATCTTTAATGACAGAGTTGGGCTAGATGATTCCTGAGGCCCCTTTGGGGCCCTGCTCTCTGATCTCACTTCCTAGTAGGCCTCCCTGCCTGCACTCTCTCCTCTTTTCCCATTTATCTTCCAGATAGCTGCCAAGATCATTCCCTGCCTGGCATTTGAGGACTCCACCCCCATTCTGGCTCGCATCAATCTTTTCAGCCCTCTTTTATTACTCCTCTTCATGCACTCCATGTTCCAGCCAAACTGCCTGTTCTCTGAACTTGACATTCCATCTCCCCCCTCGGTCCCTTTCACACAGGATGCCATCTGGCATGGTGGCTGGGATCCTCCTGTGTCATTGCTGCTTTCTTCAAGGCCCCCATGCTACCTTCTACAGCTACAAGAGCCACCATAATGCTCACTCATTACTTGGTAATTTCTTCCATATGCATTTTGCATCTACTCTTATGCTTACATATCATTTTTCTAATACAGGGCAAGCCCTTTGAGGGCAAGGACTGTATCGTTATTTTTGTGTGTTTGTATTCTTGGCACCTATCAGCTAGGTGGAACAAGGAAGAAAGAGTGCTGGACCTGGAATCAGGAAGACTTGGGTTCAAATCTAGTCTTCCACCTACCATGAACCTATCTCTGTATATATCTCCTCCAATAGAGTTGGAAAGTCCTTGAAGGTAGGATGGTGTTACTGTCTCTGACGCCTCAGCCTCTCGCACAGGGCAGGAATTGAGGCAAGATCACATAGATGGCAGATGGCAGAATTGGGATTTGGACCCCCATCCTCTGCCTGCAATCCCAGATCTCTCCTGTTCCCAGCCAAATCTAAGCTGTTCACCAGGATACTGCACGGACTGTCAATGCTTCAAGGATCTGTGAATTTAATCACTGAAGGGGAATCTGTCCTCCATGCAGAGTCTAACCCCCTCTCTACCTTTGTGGACAGGCATTGGCTTGCTATAAGCCCCCCTATATTCATCAGCGGGTGGCCAATTTTCTGGATCCAAGCCACTTGAATTAGGCCATGCTGGATAAAATATATAATCTAGCCCAGGGCCTCAATTAGAACCCTTTCCAGCTTGAGTGGGACCTGCCAGAGATTGGGCTGTATGGGCATAACTGGAGAATCTCCAATCCATCGGTCTATCCACCAATCAACATTTATCATTAATAACAGCAAACATTTCTAGAGCACATTAAGGTTTGCAAAGTACAAATATCTCATTTGGGAGGTAGATGCTATCATCACCCCCAGTTTATAGATGAAGAAACTGAGGTAGGTAGAGGTAAAGTGACTTGCCCAGGGTCATACAGCTAGCAAGTTTCTGAGGCAGGATTTTAATCCTGGTCTTCCTGACTCCAGGTCTAGCACTCAGATATTGAGAATATAAAGAACCTCCCCCCCAAAAAAAAAAGAAATAAAAGAAATAGTCCTTGTCCTCAGAAAGTTTACTTTCTATTATGATATGGAAATGATATGTAACCATATAAGAAATGATATATAATTATATAAAGTCTCTATATAGACACAAATATACATACAGATTAAATTACCAACTAATGGAGGGAGGGGTGCTTTGTAGAGCCCAGTGGGCTACGTGGAGGAGGTGGGACATAAGCTGAGCTTTGAAGGAGGCTAAGAGGGGGCAACTGAAGATGGAGTGCATTCTGGGCTCTCAGGTCAGTCTGGACAAAGGCCAACAAGCAGGGGATAGATGATCACATGTGAGGGGCAGAGAGCAGGCCTGCTGGGCCAGAGACCAAAGAATGATTAGACATCGGAGGGCTTCAGTGGAGGAGACAGAACCTCAGAACACAAATGTCTACCCAGTCTGGCCTGAACGTCCCGTCTCCATTTCTGGGTCCGTCCATTTCAGACAGGAAGCTCTCTGAGAGCAGAGAATGAATGTCCTTGGGCTGCTGCATCTGCTACCCAGCAAAATGATTCTCCTATTAATTGAATAGAGCGCAATTAGGGATTCAAAATGAAACAAAAGGAAGTAAGTTATCTGTACCTACTGTGCACAGGAGTTCCTGCTTCTTTAGAAAAGGCTCTCCAGACCCTCTTCCCCCATCCCATATTCCACTGAGTAGGATTTTTTTCCTTTCTAAACAAAGAGGCAAATAGCTGCCGGTGGATAGAGCACTGGATTTAGGAATCCTGAAAAGTTGGGTTTAGATCCTGTCTTACTCATTACTCATAGCTTTGGTAACCTAGGCAAGCAGATTAACTTCAATTCAATGCAGCTCAATAAATATGTATAAAGTGCCTACTGTGTGCCAACCTCTGGGGATATAAAAAGAGTCAAAAGACAGTCTCTGCCCTCAAGGTGCTCACAGTCTAATGGGACAGCATGCAAACAAATACATACAAAGCCAGCTATACACAAAATAAATAGGAAATAATTAACAGAAGGGAATGAAGAAGAATTGGGAAAGGCTTCCTGTGGAAGGTGGAATTTTAGCTGGCAGTTAAAGGAAGCCAGGAGGTCAGTAATCAGTGATAGCTCCCTCATGGGTGGCTGTGAAGATCAAACGAAATCATAGATATTAGTAGAATATAGAATTATTAGCTCTTAGGAACTTTGTATAATTGAAGACCCTCCCCTCCCATGTACTACTCTTCGATCCAGCGGCTGGGGTCTCCTCGCTATTCCTGGAACGAGCCACTCCATCTCTTGGCTCTGGCTGTTTTTCCTGTCTGTCCTCCATGTATTGAGTACCCCCCTCTTTATCTCCACCTTCTGACCTCCTTCAAGTTCCAGCTAAAAGTCCCGGTTCCACCGAGAAGACTTTCCCGTTCTCCTTAATTCCAGTGTCTGCCCTGGGGGTGATCTCCGATTGATCCTGCATTTGTACGTAGCTTATGGATATCGTCTACCTGCTCTTTTAGACTGCGAGCTCCTAGAAAACACGGATCTTTCTATATTTAGCACTTAGCACAATGCCCGGAACATAGTGGGCACTTAATAAATGTTCTTTGACTTTTTTGAGATCCTATTGTGTGCCGGGCACTGTGCTGGGTTCGGGGGATGTAAAGAAAACACAAACAAACATAACCCCAACGAACCAGCCCCAGCTCTCAGGAACTTCCATTTTTAAAGAACGGACAATGGGTACATACATACAAGATACTTTCTGGTTGGGAGGATCACGAAAAGACTCCAGCAAAAGGCGGTACGTGAGCCAAGCCTCAAGGAAGCTAGGGAGTCTAAAAACCGGGGGGCAGGCACGAGGGACAGATTGAGCAAAGGTTGGGAGACTAGAGATGTGGATATCCTCGGCAGATGTAGGGGGGCGGGGAGGGATGCAGTCGGGAAGGGGAGGCTCCGGGCCTGGGTTGGGGGTGCTCCAGTAGTCTGCCCCTCCCTCCCCGCCGTCCTCCCACCCCTCCTCCGCCCCTCCTCGGCTGCAGCAACCCAGGGGCCAACGGAACCCTCAGAAGTCCCCGCAGCCCTCGGCGGCGGCGCAGGCGTGCTGCTTGCTGCACACTCGTGACCCGACCACCAAACCCAGCAATGGGAAGCCAGTAGCTGCGCCCGCCCGCCCGGTGCATTCCGGGCTCTCTCTCCCGCGGCAGCCTCAGCCTCCGCCCCCGCCCGGCCGAATTCTCACCCCCCCCTTCTCCGCTCTCTGCCCCCGCCCCCGCCCTTCCCGGCCGAGCCTCCCAGCTCCGAACGCGATCGGCAACAATGTTTACGTTCCGGGGATTATGACGTCGCCGCCCTCCTCCTCCCCCCCTCCCCAGTGAAAATGGTTTCCTAGGACTTTGCAAAACGGATCTCCCCAAAGTGTTGGTGCAAAAAACTTTGTAGATCTCGGCTGGGGCTTTTTTTTTTTTTGGCTTCTTTTTCTTTCAGATTCTGTTTTTGTTTTGTTTCCTTCGGTCCTTCCTTCCCCCTCGGGGCCAAAATGCAGGGGGCAGGAGTGTTGCCAATTAATTGGTGAACTCTCCCAAAAAAAAATGGAGGCAGAGAAAGGCTCTGGACGAAGATTGGTGTGTAGCTGTTTTTTTTTTTTAATCTGTGTCTGTATATTATAGATCTCTAATTTTTCCTCCTCCTCCCCCCTCTCCTCCCCTGCGTTCTCTTTCCTTTCCGTGTGTTGAAGAGGACCGGAAAAGAAATAATAAATTGCATGCAAAAGGAAGCAGGCAGTTTACTCTTGGCCCCCCAGCTCAGACACTTAGGTGGGGGGGGCAGCTGGGGGAGGTGGCTGCCTGAGTGGGAACGGGGTGTGGGGGGCGATCGCTGGGGATTAGGACTCGCCAGCGTGGTGATGGGGGGGGTGTGTGTGTGGGAGGGTTGTAGAGCTGGAGATGTGGGGAAAGGGGTGGGGGGATGTCCCTCCACGCCGCGTGCGTGTGTATGTGTGTGTGTGGTGGGGGGGGATGAGCAGCGGATGGAGGCAGCTGCTAGTGTGTTTGGGGTCCCCAGTGGGAGCTTTGTGAGCGGCTGGCCACCTTTCTCCTGTCCCCGCTCTCCCCCACCCCCATTCTTCGAGCGAGCGCAGGGCAAGCTCAATGTGCAGCAGCTGCCCGGCTCCCTTGGAGGCCCTTGGGGGCACCTCGCTTCCCCGATACCCAGGTCTCCCTTTCTTCCACCCGGGTCCAGCGCCCAGTGAGCCGCCGCCACCCGCTGCTACCGGGCCAGGCTTTGCAAGCTCTCAGGGCCTACACCCCCCTCCCGAGCAGCCTACCTTCCCAGGCCCCTCACCTCCAATCCCCCTCGCGGCGCCCCCCAGCCCAGTCCGGCCCGAGCGCTTGGCTTTCCCTCGCCTGGAGCTCCCTCTTAGTTTACATAACCCGGGATTTGGCCCGCGGCTTCCGCCGGTTGGGCGATATCGTAGAGTAGGGGGCCACCCCCAAAATAGTAGGGGTGGGGCCAGCTTCTTGAGGGCCCCTTCGCTCTCGATTATCCGGCAGGGACTCGTAAGGAATAGCCGTGGGCGAGCTTGCCCACTGGTTGGCGTAAAGAGGGGAGAGAACCCTCCTGGCCCCTGCCCCAATTGTAAAGGTGACTTTGCCTGTTTTCTAGTTGCGGGGGTCTGCCTAGGGTAGACTGTGTAGGTGCCCTGCGCCTGCACCTGCTCGATGGGTCGGGTTGGTGCAGGCTGGCTGACCCAATGGACACCCTAAATGCCCCCCGCAGTAACGCCTGCGGGGTCTCTGGCTTGGGTCCCCGCAGCGTTCGATCAACCGTCAGGGATATGACGAGAACGAGGACTCGTCGGACGTGGAGGAGATTGTGAGCGTCAGGGGTTTCAGCCTGGAGGAGAAATTACGCAGCCACCACTATCAGGGGGACTTCGTGCGCGCCATGGACGGAAAAGGTGAGCCTGGCCCAGCGTTGTCTACCTCTCCTATTCATTCTGCCCATCTTTGCTTGGCACCCAGGGGTCCCGGGCCAGCTGCGAGCCGAGCAGCACAGGCCAGCCCAGAACATCCCAATCGGCGGTGCGCGCACGTGAGAAAGCTGTGGCTGGTTCGTATTTCGCGCTCCTGTCCCCCATTCCAGGGGATCCGGTGACGAAATGAGGCTGAGCCATGGGGGGGGGGAGGGTGTGGACTGGGGGAAGGGTGACGGCCAGGGTTAGGGGTGGGTAGCCCAGTGGGGCCTAGACCAGTTCTGTGCCTGTCACCCGGTCACTCTGGTGCCCTGGTCCTGAGCTTGGGGGGAGGAGGGGGCTGCGCGCCTGGGAGCAGGCCGTCTAGTCCGCTTGCTTCGGCCGTCTCTGCTGCTCTCCTGCGGGCTCCCCTGGCCGGCTGGTGCAATCCGGCTTCGCCCTCAACCCAGAGCGCTCTTCGGGCCCGCACTCCCTTCTTTCTGCTCTCTGTTTGCCCACCGGCAACCCTTTTCTTTTTCCCAGCCCGAGGTCCTAGGGGAAGTAGGTCCCCAGCCCTAAAAGTGTAGGAGAGGTCTAGCCTGCCTTTGTGGGTTTCTTTCCGGCCTCCGCACCTGAGCCTGGTCGCCTAGTAGCCGATCCAGCCTGGGACAGCTCCACTTCTCTGGAGCCTGCGCCTCCCGGCTGGCCCGGAACTATTCGGGTACCCTTCAGCTCGCCGGGAGCCCAGTTGCAGAGGCTCAGGCTGTCTTTTCTCGCATTTTTAAGGGGCAAACTATTCCTTTGCACCACCAATTTATATCACCTTGGCGTTTCCTTTCTGGTTTGATCCCCCCCCTTTATCAAAAAAGCCTTTTTATTTTATTCAGATGCTCTCAATTTTATTTTGTTGGTCTCCTGCCTTTTAAACTAACTCTTACGACCTTAGCTGCTGGGATATATGGACAATTCAGCCTCCCTGTCCACTCTGGGATAGGCACAACCTCATTTTGCGTTTGTGTTTGGTATAGAAGTTGTGTGCCGACCCCCTGGGGCAGGGCCTAAGACTGGAAGGAATTTCTACCTAGCCTTCCTGCCCTATACACTTTAACGTTAGTTCTCCACCCTTTCCAGCTCTAGCTGGGGGGAAAAAAAAAACAAAAACAGGAGAGCTCCCCTTCCTCCTTTCACGTAAGGATCTCCTAGCACTTTTGGAGCTTTTCTGAGGAAGACTGAGAAGGCCTGGGCTGGCGTCTGTGAATTGCTGACCTGTGGAGGTGTTGGGGGTGGGGGAGGATTCTTAAGCTGGCGCCACCATGATGTCTTCCTTAAATCTATGGAGATTTCTTTCTGGACCTTGGGAAGTTTTGACCTTGAGGAGTATGGAAGGCTGTATGATTTTAGGTGGGGTGCGAAATTGGAAAAAGAAATTCCTGGTGGAGTCAATGACTTGCCCCAGGTCGTTGGGTATTTAATCTTCTGACTTCAAATCCTGGCCTCTTTCTGCTGGATCTAGCTAACCCTGGCTTTCAGTTGTTAAATTTTGTACAGCCCTTCTTCATCCTGAATATTTGAGCCCTTGGGGCTCTGAAAATGGCCACTCCTAACTCTTTGCTAGTTCTCGGTTTTCTCTCCCCAAAAGTGGGTTTGTGTGGAGCTCCGGGTGACCTGCCCCCAGGGAAACTGCCGCTGGTACAGTTGGGAGAGTTGGGGGGAGGGGAGAGTGTGAGTGTCCCTGTCCTAGGCCTGAGTCTTAGCTAAGACCTCTTCCATCTCACTGCACTCCGGGCCCCTGAACCAGAGAAAAGAGCTTATTCATCCGTCCCTAGAGCTGGGATGACCGGAGTGACATTTGCCTTGTGGGGATGGGCATGTGTGTCAGAGGGTTGGGGGTGGAATTGGGACCCTATGTCTTGGTTGTCTGGTAATATCTCTTACCCCCATCTTCCTGACTTGATTTCTCCCAGAATTGTATCTGATCACGTCCGCTGTGGGGCTTGCAGGAAGGCAGAAGTAAGGGGTGATTTTTTTGTCTAAATACTCCTCAGCCTTTTTAGGGACAATTCTTTAGGGAAAATGAATGCAAAGCCCTGTTTCCTGAAATTTGGGGAGGGGGAAGAAAGCGAGCGTCTGTGGTTCTAGAATAGATAAACCCCAGATCAGCCTCGGGATAAGGGGAGAGGGCAGCTACCTGTGGGTTTTTAAACACTTAATTGAGACTTCTCTGTCCCTTCCCCCAGCTGTCTCAGCTACCCCTTACCCAAGGGGAAAAAAAAAAGCTTAGCTAATCCTCTAGGTGAAGGAAATATGTGATCATTGTAGTAGAATCGTCACTGTCAAGACAACAGTATTGTACCGAAACTCCCTGGTTATTTTGGCACCAAATACATAGTTTCCAGGGAAACGGCTCTCTTCCCCTCCCCTTCACTATGCAGGCAATTACAATAAGGCCTTCACAGATCTGTGGCTACAATGGGAGCCCTCCAAGCTTTCTCTCCTATTCTGCACATCCCTCCAGGTGTCAGGCAGGGATGGGGAGGGTGCCTCTCTTGAGCCCTGCCTCGGTCTGGAGCTCCACCCCAGATACTGGCCATAACTCCAGGTTTCAGATTGTGCCTAATCCAGGCTCCCTTCCACACTCCTATTCCATCTACCCCCCATACCCCCCCAAAAAAAACACCCCAACCAAACCTCAGGGTGTTTCTTGACAAGTTCTGACCAGTGGGTTTAGGAATGATTGAGTAGGAAGAGGGGCAGGCTGGGCTCTGCCTATCTGGGGTTGTTTCTTCAGGCAACAGCCATCTCCCCTCCCTGATGCCAGGCATGCCTTGGCTTATTATCCAGCTGGGAAACAGACTTGGAGCTGAAAGGGCCCTTAAAGGTTCTTAGCAGTGTAGATTTTAGATTCAGAAGGGACCTCACAACAGCCCTGGAAGGTAGAGGGCAATCATTATCCCCATTTTACAGAAGAGTAAACTGAGGCAGGCAGAGATTAAGTGACTTTGCCCAGGGTCACAGAGCAAAGTTTCTCTGGTGGGATTTGAACTTGGGTCTTCCTGCCTGATTCCTGGCCCATTGATCTAGCCACTGTGACATCTAGCTGCATTTCTTAAAGGCCTATTGTGTACTGAGTGCCGTGGTAGGCCCTTGGGCCGCTAATACAAAATGGAAAAGAATCCTTGTTCTCAAGAAACTTGCATCCTCCAGGGGGAATGCAACCTGTCAACCGAGAATTATGAGGAGGAAGGAGAGAGCCCTGAGGATTATGGGGATGGGGAAGGGCTTGCAGTAGGAAACGGCACATCAATTCTGCCTTGGAGGAATCTAGGGATTATAAGAGGCAGAAGTGAACAGGGGGTGCATTTAAATGGTGGGGACCAGCCTGTGCAGGGATGGCTAGAGATAGCCATCTAGTCTTATCGGCCTCCTTTAACCTAAGAGGAAGCTAAGGCTCAGGAAGGCAGAGCAGCTGGAATCTTACTGGGGGTAAATGGCAGAATGGGAATTTCCTTCACTCCTTTGTGTACTGATTGATTTGCTTTAATCCAAATGTTCAGATTTCAACTTTGAGTACGTACAGAGAGAAGCCCTCAGAGTGCCTCTGGTCTTCCCAAATCCCGATGGACTAGGAATTGAGTAAGTTGACATCGTTAACTGTTTTCTCCTTCCCTCTACATCTTCCCAGCAGCCAAGTTTTCTGACAGTGGGTGAAAGCAGTGAAGAGGGTCCACCCTTTTGAAGAGTAGCTGGCCCAACCTGGCTTAAAAGCCTTCCCTAGCTACATTTTCTTAAGTATGTTTAATTTATACTCCTCCCTTAGACCCCCTTACGTTGTATCTATTGTGTATATTCATACACACACGCACATTGTTTCTCATTGGAATGGCAGCTAAGGGAAGGCCTGGCTTTGCATCCATTCCCAGTGGTCCCTTTTAGATAACCCCAGAACAAGGCTTTTCTGGGACAGAAATAGATCCAGAGTCCGAGCTGGGAGGTTTGGCAGAAGACTGCTTTCCAGATGTGGGCCTCATGGTCCTTGGTTCATGGTACCTGCCCCGCCTGGACCCCTGTTCCGTCTCTTCTGTGGATGCTGGGTTTACCTTTCTTTCTCTGGGGCTGTGTGCTAGGGGGCTTGTGTTCCTATCTCCCTCCCTCGGCATGCCTCCTCTTCCCCCCCAACCCTGTTTACATTCTTTCACGTTGAGATCTGTCAAAACCCAGAAAGAGAGGGAGGGAGGTAAGAGCAGCTGGATGGCCGGGCTGGGAAAGTGGAGGCTGGAAGAACTGGTTTCTGCCTTTGGGGAGGGAACAGAGGGAGGAGGCTCCTGTCCCATCATTCACATCTCTTGTGTCCATCATCAGAAGTGCTCTCAGCTCTGATCCTTAATTCTCTGAAGCTGGACTGAAATCGGCTGTGTCATTATTAATTCACAGTTCATGTGGGGCAGCTTTTTAACACCATAAGTTGTCTCAGTGGTGCTAACTTACATCTGTAGTGGGGATTTCCTCATTCATAAGGGAGTTCCCCATGCCAGTGAAATCACAGAGCCAGTCCCATATAGCCATCTAATTAATACTGCCTTGACCATTATGTTTAATGATGACAATTCTCTTTGAAGATTTTCATATACCTCCCCTCCCCAATAACCTCTCTGGCCCAGCAAGGGGCCCAGTGAGAATTAGGGGATGGGAGTGAGGAGAGGAAGTCCTGGGAGAGAGAGGGAATCCCTTGAGCTCCCTTCCCCCACCTCACCCCACCCCAGGACCTCTACCTCTGATCTGATACCACCTGGTGGCTTCAGTCAATGAATCAGTCAACAAGTTTGCCGTGTACCAGGCTGTGGGCTCAAAGTCAAACTACCACACAGATAGACAGTCCCTCTCCTCCCATAGCTAACATTTTAAGGAGAGACAACATATACTTACATAGGTATATACGAGACACATACAGCATAACCTGGGAGAGAGTCAAGGCAGGGAGTGGGAAAAGCCTCCCCAATTCAATTCAATAAACATTTATTAAGTGCTGCTATGTGCCAGACACTGCTAAGCTCTGGGGACATCTAAGAGGTAAAAGACAACCTTGCCCTCAGGGAGTTTACAATCTAAATTAGGGTTCAGCTGAGTCTTGAAGGAAACAAAGAATTCTAAGAGGTGGAGGTGAGTAGTGAGAACATTCCAGGCAGGAGAGACAGCTGGTGCAAAGACACTGAGGTGGGAGATGGGAATATTATGTAGGAGCAGCAATCAGTCTCTCCAAGTCAGTGATTCTCAAAGTATAAACTTTTCCAGGGGTCTTTGAGGTCAAGACTCTTGTCATAATAATAAGATGTTTTCATTTCTAATATGGTAAATATTGGGAGAGATAACCTACATAAACAAACACTCTTTAAGAGGTCTCCAGTAATGTTTGAGAATATAAAGGAGTGGCCTGAGACCAAAAAAATTTGAGAACCGCTGCCCTGGATCTGTGAAGCTGTGATTCCTGCCTTCTCCCTTCCTTTCTCAGCTGTGGGGCAGGGTGGGAAGTCTGTAACTTCTCCTCCAGGTTTAGCCAGAGCGGATCAGGTCGTGGATGGGAGAGGGAAGAGAGGTGCTAGCAGAAGGAAGCAAGTGGCTTAGGCCCTGGGTTCAAGATGGACATCTTTCTGGTTGTTCCCCAATCCCATTGACTGGTCCACACCTAAGAACACTAGCAGTTGTTAGGAAATTGCTTCTTCTGAAACTCTGTCCTTGTGCCCAGGTCGGACCCCATCTAGAATATTGTGTTCAGTTCTGGGTGCCCTCTGGGTTTAAGAAGGGCATTGACAAAGTGGACAGTGTCCAGAGGAGGGCATCCAGGAAGTCAAAGCCCATGTCATAGGACATAAGTTGGAAGAACCCCAGGTATTTTTCACCTGGAAAAGGCGTAGGGTGGGAGGTGCTGTTTTTGTAGTCAGTACCTAGGTCTGAAATAAGGCCTTTTACTAACTGTGTGATCTTAGGCAAACCCCTCACCTGTCTGGGCCTCTGTTTCCTCATCTGTAAAATGAGGGCATTGGAGAAAATGGCCTCTTGAGGTCTCTTCAGCTTCGATCTTTGATCTTATGACCTGTCTCTGATACTGCCTGTGTGATCTTTGGGCCAATCACGTGGCTTTCCTCATCTGAAAATTGAGGAGGTTGGAAGAGATCACTGGTGTGAAACTCAGATAGAAACAGGGGCCACTAATCCCGGACATAAGTCTCCCAATCTGTGCATATTGGCTTAGAAAACCACATATTAATGTTGTCTGTGTTCTCTTGTATTTTTTATTTATTTTGTTAAATATCTTACAATTACACTTTTACTTGGTTGCTGGTGCTCTGGAATGCTCAGACTAGATGACTTAGGAGCTCTGTTCAAGCTTTCTTGTCTATGATCGTGTAAGATCTCAAGTCATGCCCATAGTGGGATGTTGAGTGGAGAGCCTGAGAACTCAAGGGATTTCTGGAAGCAATGGGTAGAAATTGCCAAGAGGCCAGTTTTAGGGTTAGACATTAGGAAGAACTGCCTAAAAATGGGAACTGTCTTTCCACAAGTAGAGTTAATGGGTTGCCTTGTGAGATCATATATTCTCTCTCATTGGAGATCTCTCGGCAGAAGTGGGATGGCCACTTGTCAGGTGGGGATTCCTTTCAGGTGTGAGCTGGAGTTGGAGGGCCCCTGAGGTTCCTTCTAGCTCTGAAACTCTGTGATTCCTGGGCTCTGTTTACTCAGTTTCCTTACCTGGTATCTTTTGCCACCCTTAGGATGCCTGATGCTGATTTTACTGTCCGAGATGTCAAACTCCTAGTGGGTAAGTTGCTTGGTTTTTCCTTCTTCTGCTCTGGGGATAAAAGCCCCTGGGTGCCTGGGTAGCATGGATATCCCCTGGGAGGTGATGGGGAGGAAGTGGTTTGTCATACACAGTCTAGCTGGTAAGGGAGCAGGACACTGAAGGGAATGGCTCCTGACCCTGTGGCGGTTGCCACCATCTTTCTCTAAGAGACTGCTTGGTGGGGGCTCTGACCTCAGCCTCAGGAGAAACAAAACTAGAGTGTGGCTTGGAGGTTGGCAGACTTCCACTAGTGCCTAGCAGAGTAATAGGAGAACACAGAAGTCAGAGCTAGGAGGGGCCCTTAGAACTGGGAGTGTCAAGGTTCAAAGGCATCTTGGGACAGAAGCGTTAGAGATACGAGAGACCTTAAACCATGAGAGATCTTAAACCATGAAATAATCAGAGCTGGGAGGATAGCATCAGAGCTTGGAGAAGGGTCTTAGAAAAGGGAATATCAGAGCTGGGAGGGGTCTTAGAACAGGGGATGTCAGAGCTGGGAAGGGCCTTAGAACAGGGGAGGTCAGGGCTAGGAGGGGCCTTAGAACAAGGGATGTCAGAGCTGGGAGGGGCCTTAGAACAGGGAATGTCAGGGCTGGAAGGGTCCTCAGAACGAGGAATGTCAGAGCTGGGAGGAGCCTCAGAACAGAGAAGGTCAGAGCTGGGAGGGGCCTTAGAACAGGAGATGTCAGGGCTGGGAGGGATCTAAAACAGGGAATGTCAGGGATGAGAAGGGCCTCAGAACATAGACTGTCAGAGCTGGGAGGGTTCTTAGAACGGAATGTCAGAGCTGTATAATCATACACTTTTTACAAAGGAGGAAACAGCTCCAGTTCTACGACTAGAATCCAGCCCAGGTTTTTTCCACTGCCCCACTCTTCCTAGGATGTTCCAGCTCAGGGCTTAGGTGCAGTCTGTGCTTATTTCTTGAGGTGCCTGGGAAGGTGACTTTTGTCTCTCTCCTTTCCTCAATTTCCTCCATGGTGCCTACTACTTGGATTGGCCCAACTGTTCCCAACTGGGCTGTTCTTGACAGGACACTGGCTTGGATTGAGGTCTTTGGCAAATTAAGGTGTTTGCCTGGGTCCTGGGGGCTCTCAGAGCTTCTTAAAAACTGATCCTTGGCCAATCAGAAGAGAATGGTCCAACAGAGAGGGACGAGGAACTTGTGTGTTGTAGATGTGCATGTAGAGACTGTACTCCAAATACTCAGATATGTTCAGGAGTTTGTGTTCTGTATGGTGGCAGGCAGATCTGGGTTAATTAGAGAAGACTTGGAGGAGATTCATCTTTGAGCTTTGTCAAAGACCAGAGTTTTGTGGAATGACAGAGGGGAAAGAGGCAGACAGTTTCAGTGGTGAAGGTGAAAGGGAAGAGGAGTTTTCTTAAAGGAATAAAGGCATCAGAAGAGCATCACGCCCATACCTAATGACTTTAGTTGGAAGGGGTTAAAATGGAATCATCTTTTAAATTTTTCTTTCTTTTCTTTCTTTTTAATTTTTTTCTTTTTTTCTCCTTCTTTCCTTCCTTCCTTCCTTCCTTCCTTCCTTCCTTCCTTCCTTCCTTCCTTCCTTTCTTCCTTCCTTTCCTTTCTTTCTTTCTTTCTTCTTTCTTTCTTTCTTTCTTTCTTTCTTTCTTTCTTTCTTTCTTTTTCTTTCTCTTCCTTTCATATTTTCTCTCCTTCTCACTGCCTCTCCTAATTGAACAGTTCAAAAAAAATGATAAACACACCAAAAACAAATTCCCACGTTGACGGTGCCCAAAAGTGTTTGTCTCATTCTGGGTTTTACATTCATCACCTCTGCAGTAGGAGGTGGGTATTGTGTTTCAACTTCATTTTTCCAGGATCGTGGTTTATCTTTGCATTGACTGGCATTCTAAAGTTTCTTAAAGCTGTTTTTCTCAGTAATGTTGTTATCTTTGATTTTCTTGGTCCTGCTCACTTCCATCGGCATGGGGTCCTTGAGGACTTCCCAGTTTCCTCTGAAACTGTCCTTTTGGTCGCTTCTTAGGGCTCAGTAGCTCTGTCACACTTGTACGGGTGTTTGTTTTCAACATTCCTCCACAGGTGTTTCCAGTTTTTGGCTACTGCTAAAAGAACCATTATAAAGATTTTTGTAGGTACTGGAATTTTCAGTTCTGCAATCAATCAATCAGTTAACAGGTGTTTATTTAGCCCTCCCAGTGTGGGGGGCACTTCGTTAAGTAAGCTCTGAGAATACAAAGAAAAATCAAAATCAGTCTTTGCTTTCAAGCAGTTTACATTGGAATGGGGGAGATAATGGCACATAAGGAAGTATATACAAAGTACCTGCAGATGTAAGTAGGTATAAAGTAACCATGGAGGGGAAATGGGGGAAAGACTTCCGATAGCAGCTGCTGCTTCAGCTGAGTCTGTAATAAAAGGTGCCAGAGATTCAAAGAGATGGAGGTGAGGAGGAAAAAGCATTCCAGCCATAATCTGGAGTGACAGTTGTGAGGCACAGGCCACTATGGTTAGACCATGAGAAGGAGGGATAAGGTATAAGAAGACTGGAAAGGGCTTTATTCATTCATTCATTCATTCATTCATTCATTTATTCATTCATCTATTATTTAATTCTCTCTTTTTTGGGGGGGGCATTAGGCAATGGAGTTAAGTGACTTGCCCAGGGTCACACAGCTATTAAGTGTTATGTGTTTGAGGGCAGATTTGAACTCAGGTCCTTCTGAATCCAGGGCCAGTGCTCCATCCACTACACCACCTAGCTGCCCCTGGGAAGGGCTTTTAAATGCCAAACAGGGGAGTAGATATTTGGTCATAGAGGTAATAGGGTGCCAGTAGAGTTTATTGAGTGGGGGTAGAGGGTGACTGGTCACCACAGCTGGTCAGATCTGGGATTTAGGAAAATCATGTTGGTGGATGAGTTGGAGGACACTTGGAGCAGGGAGAGGCTTGAGAGGCAGGGACACCTATGAAGAGACTGTGGCAGTAATTCATGGAACAGGGGATGAGAGTCTGAACTAGGGTGGTGGGAGCATGAGTGCAGAGAAAGGGAAGATGTGCAAGTAGAAAAGAAAAGATTTTCGATTGAGTGGATCTAGAGGGAGTAAGGGAGGATGAGCAGTCGGGAATGACACAGAGGCTGTCGATGCAGACCTGGGTGATTGGAAGTCCTCCATAAGTGATAATGAAGGCCATTGGCCAGCATTACTTCTTTTCTTGCCAAGACTGGGGCCTTTGCTGTGTTATAATCAGCTCCAGCTTGACCTCTCTGATCCCTGCCTTCATGATGCATAAAAGTCCGTTTTTGTTTTAAAACAAAAATTTTATTTTTGTTTTAAAATAAAAATAAAAATTTTATTTTTGTTTTAAAAGTGGATCATGTTTGATTTAGGATGGAAGCATGGCATAGTGGATAAGTGAGCTAGTTTTGGAGCCCTGGAGCCAGGAAGGTTCAAGTCCTGTTGTGAGACCCTGGGCAAGTTACTTAACCCCTTCTGCGCCCCAGGCAACTCTCTTAGAATTATAAAGGACGAGGAAAGGGCTGACCTGCTTTGCTTTGGTCGAGGGAGTTCCTCATTTGGTAGCTCCTCTTGCCAGTGAATTCACCCGTCCATCCCTAGTTTATTTTTGTTTTTTAAATTTAATCCAATTTTTATTTATTAACTTTTGCTGAAGCTGCATTTCAGAATACCTCCCTTCTCTTACCTTTGCTACCCAGGGAACCATCCCTTGTAGGAAATGTTTTAAAAGAAAGAGGAAAAAAACAGTTGAGCAAAATCAGGAAGCCCTACAGTTGTGAGAGACATCACTTTCCAGTAATGCAAACACATAGTTAACCATTTCTGTAAAGGAAGAAGTAGGAGGAAGAACTGTTTTTTTTTAACCTGACCTCTGATGTCATCCAAGGAGGCAGTTAACCTTGAGGGCTCTCTCTACAATTTATGGCCTTAGAGAGTTGCCTAGAACTCATAGAGGTTAGGTGACTTGTCCAAGGTCACACAGCCACTATGTGGCTCAGGTGGGATTTGAACCCAGGTCTGTCTTTCTGGCCTGTACTATACCACGCTGCCTCCTCGAATAAAATTTTTTAAGAGTGTGTTCTGTAGGCCTGTTACCATATGTCTGAAGACTTAGTCTGAAAGAACTCTTTATCTCATTTAGGAATGGGGGACATTTGGGAGAGAGTGAAAGGGGGAGGCTTTCCTGGGCTAAATCACTGCCCGTTTCTTGGAGGAGGGTGGAGCTGACCCTTGCAGACTAAGAACTCAGGCTGGAAATGTATTTGGTTTCTGGAAATCTCTTCATTAGAGACTAGCCTGATGGGGGCCCCTTGGCGAGCCTCAGAATTTCCAGGAGCTGTTAACTAGAAAGTTAGGTGTTAATTGGTTGGGATTTCCCTATTGACTTTCTCTCTGAAATGTTTTCTCTTCCTTTCCTGAGGCTATCCTGTAAGGGGGGTGGGGGCAAGTCAGCTCTTTGACCTTTGTACCTCTCTGCTGTATCCCTGGAGCTCCAGTGGGACTTAGCTTTTCTGGGGAGCTCAGGAAAGTGGAAAGCCTTTTCTTTGTTTTCTGGAAGGTGACTTATCCCTTGCTAGTGTAACTGTTTGGTAAATTTTTGTTTGGATTTGTTCTCAATTTCTCATCTGTTCTTTTTTTTCTCCTTCATTCTCTCCCTCCCTCTTTTCCTTTTCTCCTTCCTTCCTTCTTTCCTTCCTTCCTTCCTTCCCTCCCTCCTTCCCTTCTTTCCCTTCCTTCTTCCTCCATCTCTTCTTCTCTTCTCCCTCCCTCTCTTCTTTCTTTCCTTCTTCCCTCCCTTCCTTCCTGCCTTTTCTTCTTCCCTCCCTTTCCTTCCCTTCCCTTCCCTCCTTCCCCCATTCCCTCCCCTCCTTCCCCCATTCCCTTTTTACCTCTTGTTCTCTTTTTTCCAGTGGATTTCACTGATTTTACAGCAGACTTCTTAAATTTTGTCTGCATTTCCCAGAAAGGAAAGGGGG